CTCGATCCAAGTAAATGCCTCCCTTAAACTCCCATTGTCTTCGGTCTCCGTTTCCCAATACACGAACTCAGCTCTGTGACGTCACGGCGGGGTGGTGGCGTGTCGGGCGCACTTCCGAAGTCACCAGAAGTCAGCATGCAGGACGTGCATTCCTGCGTCCTCTTTGAAGAAACAAGACAAAAACTTGCGTTCTCGCCAAAACGCTGCAAAAGGGGCTGTGCCGAAAGAGTCGGGGAAGGTTTGAAGGTTAGTTTTCGTGTGTTGGCTGCGTGCTCGGTTCTTTTGAGAACGTGGATAGGTACCACAAAAAAGAAAACCAGACGCCGCCGGACCACTATATTGCTTGTGCGGGAAGCACTTTCGGTTGAATTCACGGGTACTTCTGATCGTCAGGTTTATTTGTTTTGTTCCAGCATGAACGCGGGCAAACCGCTAAGTTGTAGGGACCACTTGTGGTGTACGGTCAGTGCGTCTTCAAGTTCAAACGGCCGCCTGATCGTTCGAGCTCTCGTCTGCTCTCTCAAACGTTTCTGCTTGTTGTCGTCTGCTTGTTCAAACGAGCGGCCCGTAGGCCAAACGTTGACCAGGTGACTGCGATAACAAGTACGGGATTCAAAGCAATGTTAAGTTTGAAGGATAATTGGGGCAAGTAGGCTCTCTGCAAACAGTAGATATATACAGTGCAGATGTTGATCATTGTTACCAATGGCCATCACCGACTTGTTATGCCTGATCCACTTGGTCCGTTCGGCTTGCGATCTTCAGTATAGACGTCGGCCATCTCATTTACGTTTCACGCTTTTGCAGCCCGAGCGACGTCGCCACTGAAAATGGCGAGCAGAATCTCATCATGCCATTTAGGCTCTACCGTCCATTGTGCGGCATCCCCGCAGAATAAATCACCGCATGTCACATTATTCACGCGAAGTTTTGCGGTACCAAGCCTCTAGTATGTTGCTGAGGCCTATAAAGTGATCAGACTTTCCCATGAAGACGTAGAATCAACAATTTCAACGCAAAAAAGAGCATGGCGACAACATCACATTCTAATGGCTTGTTTATTGGCGACGGCGAGCTTCTTGCCCACACTCCATCGCGCAGGCGCCGCGCCAGTGGCGTCCGCTAGGGGCGCTCGGGTTTGTTTGTAAACATGAGTTCGTGTATATGCTTTCTGCTTTTAATGAGCGAGGGAGGCGGATCCGCTTCCAGTGTGAATGAGCGGTAACAGAGCGAACGGTGGAGAGGAGGTCGCCTCCTATCCTACGTACGCTTTGCTAAAGTGGAAAGAGGTGGGAGGTGCTTTCACTTCACTCTAAACCTGTCACCGATTCTAGTAGAGCCCAGGCACGGAGCCCAGGGACGGCCCATGCCCCCCCCCCTCCCCACCAAAATCTTTAATTTTGCTGGGACCTCCTCTCCCCCTCCCCCTCATACAGCATTTTGCCATGGGCGCCCCCCCCCCCCCCCCCCCCCAAAACAAAGTTATGGCTACGTGCCTCGTAGAACCCTTAGTTATGTGAATACCCTTATTTGTTCTAATGTTCCAAAGGTGTCTTTTGCACCTCCATAAGACATTCGTGCTGCTTGGGTTTGGTCTGCCTTGTATGCGCATTCACGCTGGACGCTCTCCAGACGCTGAAGCGTCATCGAATGTTGGAAACTCACGCTGAAAATGGGAGAACCGAAGATCCTACGTGCCGTTCTCAACCTAGGAGTCACTATGCTGATAGAAACCAAGGGAGAGGAGGAGGCGAGATTCCGCGTGGACGGGTGTAGGCAGTGGGCAGGCACAAATCTATAGCGGCCTGTGTCTTTATTCACTCTTCGAAGTTCAAACGTGTTCGAACAACGACGCTCGCCGTTCGGCATTCGGCGGTCGCGTTTAAATGAGTTCGAAGAGTGAGTAAAGACAATGGCAGCCAGCTTTGCGGCTACCCACAAGTCATTTCAACCAGAACTTGGCATTCTGACGTCCCCGCGCGCCATCCTCAAATTCTATAGTAGTATTAAAAGTGTACCACTCAGCAGATAACAATCAACATGTGTTTCCGATATGGATATGTTTCCGCTATCGGAAACACATGTCTGATCGTTATCTGTTCAATCGTGTATCATAATATACTACTTTCTATCCGTAGAGCATCTCAATTAGAAAATAGTGCGCGCAAACCAAACGTTTCATCAAAAGAGGATTGCGCAACCATCTTTGACAGCGTTGCACTTCAGCAATGGTAGGGATTCGTTGCAAATTGGCGCGCACGTCGCGCTATACTTTTGTGCCAGTCCTTGGTGAATAACACCTTCCGGAAAATACCACAAGGTAACTCATCAGCTCTGCATTGCACCGCGCGATTTGGGGAACTGTGGGGTAGTTACGATGTATGCTCGGGCCGTCTCGTGCGCTTCGTACCTCATAGAAGCGACGTCATTCCTTCTTTCTTACCTCTGTGATTTCAGAGCATAAATATAAAGTGACCAAATCACTGATACTATAGCTATCCTGTTTTGCTATCGTCCTCCTTTTTTTGCGTTCCGAAATCGTAAAATTATGAACAAACATGTCTCACTCCTTTTATTCGGGGCTACTCCTACAGGTGCCGTAGATCGCATTGCCGTAGTGCGTAGATAAGATTATTGGTGGCGCCAAGTCTTTTCGAAAAAGTCTATTGTTGCAGAGGCGTAGACACTTGCGTTTGACTTTACTTTCAGAACCGACCAAGCGGACTGCCCAATTTCGTCATGGACAGACTGTCCTCCGACTTGGAGCTCGCAGCTCAGCGAGAGCTTGGTGAAACACCGCAAGTCAGGAGGGATGCCGTGGAACAACTGCGAAAACTTCTCGCCGCTGAATAGAAAGAAAAAAAAAAAAAAAAAACGTGTACAGCTTTTGAAAAAAAGAGATGTAAATGACTTGCACGGTCGATTCTGCAGGATTCCAGATTTGGTTTAATCTTTGACCAGTTTTACACATCAAACATTTCGATACGTGTCTGGAACACGCAGGAAGAAACAATAAACTGAAGTACGAGAAAACTAAGCAACGAAAGACCGAAAAGTTCGTAATAAAAAGCAGTTTATCAAAAAGATACCAGAAATATACTGTGAACGACTTAATTCGCGCAAGAAATTGATTAATCTCGATAAAATGGATCCCCGAAATATATTACGTGACGGCAACAAATGCTTAGCACACCACACATACATAGAATCAGACTTGCACACGTTACTGAAAAATAGTAAGGAATTACATTTACAATTACTCAAGGCTAAATTGTAATTTATTACAATTACAATTACCCTCCCATAAAAGTAACTGACCGTTACCCCGAAAAGTAATCCGTTACTTTCATGGCGTTACTTTCAACATTATTGTCCTCAAGTAAGAAACAAAATGAAGGAGATTATTCACGTTCTTATTGTTGCAAGCTGTTACATCTGATGACCCTGGGTATTTCGAGCAACAGCTGGCTCTCTAAAGTCTCGCCAGACATTTTGGGTTATTTCTTACTCAATATGTCGACTGCAACGCTGAACACCCACTGAACTGAGGCCCTGGATGGGACTGCCATATTGTTCCTCACGAATGCTAAATGCTCTGCATAAAGCTTCTTCAGCGAAGCAATGGAAGTACTATTTACCTCGAAGATAGAACAAAGCTTCATCGTTGCAGCTGTTGATTGATATACGAGAGTTTTAGTAGATCGTCCCGATGCCCCCGTAGCGATATGATGCATGTGCAAAGGCGGCGGCGGGGTATTGGGTATCGTTATGAGAGTCATCGGACCGATCTACTAAAATTCTCCATTGTCTAAATCGCGAAGCTGTGGCAATCATCATACATCTAGCCAAAACTAGAATAAGAACTGATTTATGTCCATCTTACTATACCGGCATATATTGCCACACAATAGCAAAACATAGTTGTAACAGTAAGGTGATAATTAAATAGTAAAGAAGGTTTGGATCGATATTCTTCTTCTTTTGGTTCTGAACTGGTCGAGCCTCGGTTGAGACGTTGGTGAATAAAAACAGTTTCCAGTATATAAATATAGGTACTAAAAAAAGCACACTCATAACAACAATCAATTAGAACGTCGGTTAAAACAAGGCAATGTAAACGCACGTTTGCTGTGTGTACCGTTATTAGTGCCGTTAAAAACGCATGGAGCACGAACCCACTGCAGTTTACTCCGGTGTTCTCCAGAGAGACGTCCGCTGATGCCACGGACAGCGGAGCGTTGTCTCGTGTTGTGACATTATGAAAACGGTCGTAGTCACTTTAACCGAGAAGGACATTGTTAATTATTTTCTGTGCACTTACCACCTCGAGCTTCTCGAAGAGGCACACAATCACTTGGTGTCCTCCTCTCCCCGTCTTCGATCGCAAAGAAAAACCAAACGGACTAAAAAAAGCGGATATAACTTGCCCCTTCCCCCTTTTTTTTTTGTAAAAATGTTCATTTGGATTTTTTGACATTGCTGCAGAACTGAAGAATGCCAAGCCTCCCTTTGCGCTGGTCGATTCGCGTGACAGTGTCATTGTGCTCGACTTACCAAAATAAAGACACTAATTTCTTTAGAAAAGGAGGAGGGGGGGGGGGTTGGTCCTGAAAAAAAAATGTAACGGATTACAAGGAAGTCGTTACGTAAAAAATGTAACGGAATTACTTTAAAATTACTTTAGAAAATATGTAATTATTTCGTTACTAAATTACTGATAAATGTAAGGGATTACAAGTAATTTCGTTACTTGTAACGGATTACGTACAAGTCTGCATAGAATAACTTAAGGCAAAACAGCGGCCTTCCGAAAGCGTGCTTTGGGAACGGCTGATGCTGTCTGCCGATTTCCCCCTTGCCACAGAAGTGGCCTTCGCCAGATAATTTTCATGACTTTGCGTTGGCGTGACTGCAGTGCCGCTGGTCTCTCTGGCGCCGGCCCGGCAATCGTTCGTTTTTGCTAACCATTTTCAGTGCCGACTGTACACTCTAGCACCAAAATGACCGCGCTCAAAGGCCAAACATGCAAACGTTTATAGATCGCTAATCTTCTTGTTCTTTCCTTAGAGACCTGTGAACTACGAGTCTCCCAAACAGACTGCATTTGCTACGTTCATTACAGAGGAATCGCAACTGCAGTGTCCCCTGGATGAAGAGTTTCTCGTGAAGTTCCTGCGTGGCCGCAAGTACCGCGTGGAAGAAGCATTCGAGAACATCCGGAAGTATTTCCGCGTCCGGTTGGAGCACGCGGACATCTTCGATAACCTACTGCCATCACGCATCATGTTTGACGCAATATTCCACCAAAACAAGCTGGTGACTCTTCTCAAGAAACCTGATTCTCTGGGAAGGGGGATTCTCTTAGCAAAATTTGGTAAGTCCGATGCTCTAAGGAACGAGTTTTCTATGTTTAATTAGAATTGGAGTCAAAAAGCGTGTTCCTGACCAAAAGGTTTAGGACACAGAAGTCAAACAGAACAAACACTCTTGGAATTAATATTCATAAGTTATTTAATATACACGTAGAGTTTTTAATGTTTTTTTCTATAATCAACAATTGCTTTTCTTGCAACATTGTTATTTAGCAACTATGTTCTACTCCAATGTTTTTAGGTGCCTGGAACCCGACAGTTTGCCCGCTGAACGAGTACATCAGAGCAAACCTGGTTGTGTCAGAATGCGGTCTGCTGAATAAAATGGCCCAAATTGCAGGCGTCGTGGGCGTGGCAGATCTGGATGGGCTCAAGATGTCTCACCTCCTTTACTACACGCCATCGGAAATCAAAAAGATAATCAAGCTTATCCAGGTATACCTCGAGATTTAGGCCTTTGGATGGATTCTAAGTGCAAATTCCACCCGCTAAGGGATCGACGTTTCCTGGAGCCCACGTCAGCGACAAGGCCGTTTGATCAACACGGATTTCTTTTCCCTCGTCGTTTTGGAACAGCGCCAACCCCAGAGCTTGATTCAGATCGCCCAAATTTTTTTCTGCCTGTAGTTGGCTCGTAATAGGCCTCGACTTGCTAGAAAAGGCGACGCATGACCCCGTGCGGCCAGTTCGTCTTCGTTTACCTCGTTGGGACTGGCACTTTTTGAGCGTTTCCTCCCTCAATCATAGCACATTTGCAGGGATGGGCAAACTACATGCAAATATGTATCGAAATACAAGTACAAAATACTTCGTCAAAAATGTATTTAGTTACAAATCTAATTTCATTTCCAAAAAAAGCATTTAGGTACAACATACAAATACAACCAAATGTGTTTGGTCTCCTCCAAATACTTTTCCAAGTACATTCCTCAAAATTTGCATCAGCGACATCAGGGCACCTGCACCGGGTTTCTGGGTATGGGTATATTTTATTGTGCTATTCGCTTTTCGTGTGCTGTGTGCGTGCGCGCGCGTGTGTGTGTAGGAAAAAGAGCGGGAAGGGGGGGGGGGGGGCGGGAAACGAGTCTGTTTCTACAAGGATGGCTCGTCCCCGACTCCCTTTTGCACGAGGCGTTCGATTCCGATCTCCCCGACGGTGCACAGACGGCGCCCTCAGGTCGGGGTCGAGGGAAGGCGTGCAGCAGCAGCAGGCTGGCAGTTTCAACGTCTCAACATGAGACGATGCGTGCCCGGGCGCCCGCGGTGAGCGAGACGCGAACTGCCGCAGGACGAGTGTATGAAGAGATGAAGAGTTTCTTGGTTTGTTGTTGCCGTTGGCGTTGAGATGAAGAAAGAGCAGCTTTGAACATGTCTCAGAAGGAGCAAAATGAGTCATGGCAATAAATTTGAGAGGGATTTTCGCTCACAAAATTGTATTTAATTACAATTGTATTTGAAATACCCACGTTTTAGCATTTAAATACACACGTCAAATACATTATCCAATTTGTAATTAAATACAAATGCAAAATACACAAATTGTTTGAAATACGTATTTGAAATACTTGTATTTGAAATACTGCCCATCCCTGCACATTTGTTATCTCTCGTTCTCTTTGTGCTCAAGTTTAAACTATTACTGGCGCGTACTGATTTCATACGAGTGTCCGAAGGATACGGGTTTTCATGTTTCCATCTTATAGAGTGGGTTGGTTTGAGCTTGCGTTCCTGATCGCTTACTTTGTCTCTCCTCTGGAAATCACAAATCGCTCGCTGTTCCATTTACACTTTTAAAATATCTATATTGCAGCGTAATAATCTTGCCAAGTTCATTGTCGTAGTGCGGTCGTGCAATCGGTCGTATAAACGTTAGGTAGCTCCTTTATCTTCGGCCCTGCGAACGTCGAAAACAAAAACAAAATACAAATACAACTTTTGCGTATAAAACAAACAAAAAAAATTCCCAGTCTGTTTGTTTTTCAGAAAATACTACTCGCTCATGAACAAGGAATAAGTGTTCGACAAAATTATGTAAGATAGGTTACTAAATACCTGCTTCATGAAGTACTACTCAAATTACTTTCACTTTAATATATCTTTACTAGACTACAAGTACTTCGAATAACATTTGAATTACTTTCGAAGGCGCTTCCGTATTTCGCAATTTGTATTCACTTGAGTGACACCAGAATGTGCTAAAGAAACAAAATGTTATTTTGGTTTGTTTTTACCTATAGCTACATATGTTGTTACCAATGGTCCCAGTACTGAAAATCACATCACATCTTACAGTGATCTACTAAGCGCCGTAGTTGTTATATCCAGAATTCACGTTAAAAAAAAAAAAAGATTAGGATACATTTCGCAAAAGAATGGGTGAATAGCGAGGAGGTCTGACGGAGCATACATGTTGCGCTTTGCTCAAGGTTACCCAAACACTGCATTTAGAGACCACTAAACTTGGAAAAGAAAGTCGCAAATGGACACGGATAAGCACTGTTGTCTTTCTCGGGGTTGTCAACTCCCCTATTCTTTCTGTGAACTTAGCTTGCTAAGCTTATAAATCGTGTTCAAAAAGACATAAAACCTTAGGAGGACTCTGCGTTTTGAAAGCTTATCCTCCTCGTAGTTTGTTTTCTACTTTAAACAATCCCTGTCCTCATCAAAGGGTGGATGAGCCAAATATATGAGCGTCACTAACAACTGGTGGACACATGTTCCACGAGCAATCCAGCCGCCGACACACGCAATAAAATTGACGTCAGTATCGTCACAAATTGACGTCGGTATCCTACGAAATTGACGCAGCATCCTTTCAAAATCGACGTCAGTGAAATGTGTATGCTCCGGGTAGAATGAGAATAAAGACAGGCTTTCCATGTCCACAGTGGGGTATTTTGTAAAAGGTAGTCGATCAATTGGTCTGACCATCACGTAGCTTTCAATCCTGGTGATGGCAAGCCTATCTTTAATCTCCGTTTTCCCGGAGCCCATACATTTCTCTGTCTTTTTAAAGGGGCCCTGCAAGGACTTTTTTACTGGTTCTTAATTTGCACCGAACCTGAGCGCACTGACACCGTAGTAACTTAATGAAACTTTTTCTCGAATTTCGCTTTCTTTTAAAAATTATAGGCAAAATAAAATTACAAAAACAAGCAAAAGATAACCTGATTCATGACGTCCTTGGTCGCTTGAGTAGCCGTAAACTAGAGGAGGGGTAGTGAGCTCAGCGAGCGCTCACTGCTGGCGCACTCCGTGTCGACGGCTCGAGAGGGCGCCACTAAAGCATGTTCTGGATAGCCCGTATGAAGCGGGCAGTCAGGGCGGCTCGCATTGCATTTGCTGCGCGTTCAAACACTAAAACGGCATGACACTTCATTGGCCACAAACGACAGCAAACACAAAAATGATCAGTTCAGAACGGGAGCCACTTCGAGCTGCCAGACCGCCAAACGGCCAAACCACAAGCCATACCTGCTCGCCGAAGGAATTGGGAACGCTCGGAACCGGTCGGATCCTCGAGCCCGTATACGACCGCAGCGCCGCCGCGTACATCCGGGACCTTTCTACGCTCGCCGCTCGTCGGTGCTGATCAAATACCCTTTTCTAGTATGCGGCGCCATTTTCCACCGCTTGGTGGCGGGTATGGCGATGGGTCATTTCTTGTGTCCGTACTGTATAAACTCCGTTTTCTTTTTTCTTTTCTGATTTGAAATACTGAACAAACACTACTTTCATACACAATTGAAACGGTTCGCGCCACTTAAATTTTGTATTTCGACTAAAAAGAAGCTTTTAGCGGCTCTGACGAGTAATAAGCCATGACCGAAGACTTCATATATCGCACACATTCGGCACAGCGGGTCGCCCCCTTAGTGGAGGAGGTTTCCGCGTCGTCCGGTTAAAATATGACGCATTGATATTTAGTAACTCCCTACGTGCCCGCTGGCTTGCCTGAACTCCAAGAAATCTGGAAACCGCAAAAAAGGTAGATGCTTAAATATGATTGCAGAATCCCTTTAAGCGTGAATAGAGGATTATGACGTCAATTGTGTCCCGTGTGCTCGCGCAAATCGGCGGCTACTGGCTCGTGGAAAGGTCATGCACCATCCCTTTCGTGAAAGGGCCGGGCTGGCACCGTTCCCCCACATACACTGCTCTCAAGAGTACCAGACGAGGGCGAAGAACTGATGGCAAATTCGCGTGGCTGTTTCTGTGCGCTCTCGACCGCTCTCTACAGTGGCCGCCAGATTTTCTGGTGGAAAGGGTGTGCGGTTTTTGATCGGGTGGTTCTTTCCAAGGGCGTCACTGTCCCGCAGATCGCTTCATAGTACTTACCGCCGAATTCAGAAACCTCACTCAAACTACACTCAAACTGAATGGCCCCTCCACTTCCTCGAGAAAGGCGCAAGGGCCGGCGATGGCCAATCGCGAGGACGGATCCGCCGTCGCGATTGGCCAGCGCCGGCCCTCGCGCCTTCCTCGAGGAAGTGGAGGGCCCTTCAGTTTGAGTGTAGTTTTAGTGAGGTTTCTGAATTCGGCGGTTACTCTCTAGCCGTCGGAGTGCGGAGCAGCGCAGGTGTCACGTGGTTTGGTTGGCCATCGCGGCGGCAGTGGTTTGCGGTGGTCTGCGGGGTGCGGCAAGACCGCGATGAATATCTCGTTCTATAAAGTGCTTGTGAAATCGACGGTATGAGGATTACAACAGACGGGACGACATTAGCTTGCGGCCGTGTCAGAAAAACTCGACGTGAGAAGTATTCCGCCTGGTGACATGGGATCGTTCATATCACGGCGGTGAACCCGTGAAGCCCAACCGTTGAAGAAACGGATCGCAGAGCTCACCGCTGTTGTACCAGGTTTTGTGTACGCTTCAAGGTATTTTTCTATTTTGTAAAAGTGAGTTCAAAGGTTTGTGTTGTAATATACAGGCGGAAAGGACTATAATGCACTGTGATTTGTGTCACATGGCGTTACGTGCTGTGTCGTGTGGGTGATGCTTGCACGATATTCCGCCGTGATTTAAATACGATTTATTAACCATTTGATATTCGCCTGTTCTGCCGTACGCACGACTGCTATCGCAGCGCGTTCACTGTTAAAAACACGATCATTTGACAACTATTTCCAAATATTCGCTTTATTTTCGTTGATCGTTTTTTTTTTTTTTTTACATTCCAATGCGTGGAATTGTCAACAGTTCAGCACAGCCATAATTTCATCGTGTTGCGACCGTAAATATTGGTGAATCTTCCATTGTACGCTGTAAAATCTTATTTGATCCTTTACCAATGTCAAGAAATTTACTTCCGTGACTTGTCTGAGAATGTCAGGGGGCTCTAAGACCAACAGTTCTGATCGGATTAAAATGATTCAGAATAGCTCTGGGGGCGTCGAGGACGCTTTCTGTTCAATCGAGGCCAGAGTAGAGAGGCGAAAGCCAGAATTATCCACGACTTTCTTGCATTCTTCGAGTAGCAAAAACAACCATTAAAAAAATTATAATTTTTTTCCGCTCCTTATTTTTTTTTTGGGGGGGGGGGGGGGGGGGGGTTTGTTGGCATTTCGAGCCTGCACCTTTGGTCCTGGCTTATTTGCTGTTCTCTGTTCGGTGGCATCCGCTTGAAGTTTGCAAACGGTTAAGCTGTGCACTGGGATGTGCCGATTTCTACACCCGTGAAAAATCCACCATTTTATAAATAACTGGCGCCAGCCTGCTCAAAACGGAGCTTGAGGATTCCGAGATTGAACAATGTGTGGAATAGGAAGAAGAGGGAAGAAGCGTCTTAGAACAAACTTGGGGGCAAAAAAATCAGCTACAATAGGAACACCGCAGCTTAGTAGAGACAGCAGGATCTTTCTTCCTTGTTGGAGCGAGCGCCCTCGCACGCTTAAGCATGTACGTGTCAACGGATTCTTATACCAGAACCTCCTCAACCGGCGTTTATCTAAAATGGTTCATTCCAGCAAAATTTTCTTAAAGATAGCAAAACTGAATTTATAATAGGAAGTAAAAGACGCTGAGAAATGTAGTTAAGATAGGGAAGGAAATGCTCCATATCAAATGTATTTTCAAGATATCAAATCAGTACCAAAGGTATTTGAACTACAGTATCTTGAGTAGAGCATTCATCATAGCAACACGTCCGGCACGACTAGCAGACAGCAACACCTAAATCGGCTGTCCGGCAACAAATCGCAGTGTACCGATCGTTCCGTCATCATCCGGGGCCCAGCCATCGCTAACCGCTCCCGGAGGAGAGGTCGCCTTTTAGTGGCTGAGTCAGAGGCGCAGGGGAACCGCGCGGATCGCTTGCTCCGTCGCGATTTAGGCCATTGCTCGGAAACGACGAGCGTAATTCGCCATAGAGTAATACACTCTATGAAGTCCGGAGCATCTGCTCTTCCGCATAGCACTTGGGAGCGCCGGTCGGTGCAATCTGCGGAGAGCGGTCTGCGCGGCGAGTCACTGATCATGGTGAAACCCGACGCTCAGTGCCACAACGCAGAAGTATTTCGTTTTTTTAGGTTTAAACATTTACTAGCCCCGTCATTCGTCGAACGCCCTTTGTCACTTGCAGTGATTGGCTCTCTCAAGCGTAGAGAGGGAGAGCCGAGGCGTCAGAGCACTTTTAAGGTCGTCCCATCATCGAGGAATCAGCTCAGAGCTGCGACGAATGGAGAGTATATCAGGATGGGCCAAAAGGGAAAACGCAAGCGGTATGGATTTGCGTTAGCGTTGCGTGCTCCACACTGCGCCTGCGCGTCGTCTCCATGCACCAATCCAAGACCGCAGTTCGGGTTCCACGTAACGCAAACGCACGGTGGTTGCGTTCGCTCGTATACGCAATGCTAAGACTACCGAGTCATTAAGACCTCTAGACGGCTTCACTCCGTTTCACTTCGCGCCTGAAGGCAGATGACGCTACAAACCGACGGATCCAATCGAGTGGCGCCAAGAGTGCATTGTCATGCGCTCATCGTCTTAGCGCGTCTGCTATCACGGCGACAGCCCAATCACGCTACGATCCTGCAATGTTTTTTTTTTTTTTAGAGCGCAGCTCTTAGGCGCCCGTTCCCGGCTTGAGCGGCGTCGCCGTCGGCGTCGGCGTAACCGCGCGGGGCATTATGGGTAAATTTCCCCGCTAAATATAGTGGAAAAATTTCCCCGCTAAATCTAGCGGAAAAACTTCCCCGCTAGATCTAGCGGAAAATTTTCCCCGCTAAATCTAGCGGAAAAAATTTCCCCGCTAAATCTAGCGGAAAAATTTCCCCGCTAAATCTAGCGGAAAATTTTCCCCGCTAAATCTAGCGGAAAAATTTCCCCGCTAAATTTAGCGGAAACAATTTCCCCGCTAAATTTAACGGAAAAACCCCCGCTAAATCTAGCGGAAAAACCCGCTAGATTTAGCGGGGAAGTTTTTCCGCTAAATTTAGCGGGGAAATTTTTGCGCTAAGCGTGGAAATTTTTCCAGCTAAATCTAGCGGAAAAAATTTCTCCGCTAAATCTAGCGGAAAAATTTCCCCGCTAAATCTAGCGGAAAAATTTCCCCGCTAAATCTAGCGGAAAATTTTCCCCGCTAAATCTAGCGGAAAAATTTCCCCGCTATATCTAGCGGAAAAATTCCCACGCTAAATCTAGCGGAAAATTTTACCCCGCTAAATCTAGCGGAAAAATTTCCCCGCTATGTCTAGCGGAAAAATTTCCCCGCTAAATCTAGCGGAAAAATTTCCCCGCTAAATCTAGCGGAGAAACTTCCCCGCTAGATCTAGCGGAAAATTTTCCCCGCTAAATCTAGCGGAAAAAATTTCTCCGCTAGATCTAGCGGGGAAATACTGGTCACGTGACCCCCCTCCGAGGTCACGTGACCTCGGGGGGGGCACGTGACTCTCCCTCCACGTGGACCCCCTCCCCTGAGGTCACGTGACCCCAACAAGGTCACGTGCCCTTGGGGGGGCGGGGTCATGCGTGACCCTTCCCCTATGTCACGTGACCCCCGAGAAACCGTCCCTCAGTACACTTCCCTCCTCCTCCTCAAGAGCTGCGCTCCAATTCGGCGTTACAGGGAGTGGTAAACGGCTTTCACTTTTTTTCTGTGCGGGATTGGTCTGGCCGGTGATAGTAAACTCGAGAAGACGACTTCTGGACTCCATCAACCCGTGGCGTCCATTACGGTCACTTTAAAGTGAAGTGGAGTATAACTGTTATGGATATTAAAACGTTTTTTTTTATAACTGTGTTTCTTTTTTGGTATTTTTCAGGCCTTTAAAATTAAAGTCATGACTTTATTTTTACTTTTTTTTAAATTTTACAACCGGCATGTGAGGGCCTAGCATTTATCATCGCTTTGGGGTTAAAAACATGAGAAATATTATAAAATAAATAAACTAACACCTGACTAAGAAGGAGATGGCGGGATCCACTCATTTCTCTCTTCAAAGCGAGGTTTCATGATCGTTTAAATAAAACGAAGTTCCTCGAATACAACAGGAAGGCACTATAGAGTCTCTGCCGCAACTTCCAAATTAACCGCAACGTCTCAATTTAAAGGTATCGTCACCATTTTGCATGCAGGAATGCTACCCTCTGCGAATAAAGGGTATCTACGTCGTAAACAATCCTGCATTCTTTGAGCTCTTGTTCGCTGTGGCGAAGTTGTTTCTCAAACCCAAGCTTCTGAAGAGGGTAAGCTATGTCGCAGCGCGGCACTTCCACCGTCACTAAATTATGGGTCGTCATTTTCTTCCAGGTTCGCTTCATTGGACGCGACTACGAGAAGCTCCATGAACTCATCCCTCGTGACCGACTACCCGAGGAGTACGGTGGTACCCTGGACCCCTTCGACTACGAAGATTACGAGAGAAGCTTGCGAAGTCAAGAGAAGTATTTTGTACAGCTTGCCAGATACGGCTACAGGGAAAGGCATTCGCAGAATGAATCGAGCGATTCAGAGCGACGAGATCGTTAGAATATTGTAGTATGAGAATGCCTGAACGGTTACTTTTCGTAGAAGGAGAAACAAATCTGTTTTCAACAAATACACAGTATTGATGTCTTTCCGTCCCGCCAATCAAAATGTGTATAAAATGAATCTGACGGATACCCATGAAGTATAAACTCTCGTTGATTCGTGCGCCACACGTGTCTGGCGAGTATACTAAGCTCGCTTTCCAACGCGAAGTACTTGTACTTACTGGATTCTAGAAATCGAACGCTGGGCTGCGCATCTGTAGACTTCAAATGCCGATAGTGCAATATATCTGCAAGGGGGGGGGGGGGGGGGGGAAGGGTTAAATACAACTTTCTAAAGTTTTAGGAAAACGCACTGCCGGGCGCGGCGCATTAGCGACACCTTATTAAGAAACGGTTCTGCCAAAGACCACCGAGTTCTCCTGAATAACGGGATATGTTAGGTTCTATTGCCCTCTCCCCAAGTTCGCGAGAAGGGAGCCAGCTGGCGCGGCGCCATTTTAGCAGACGACAGGTCGTTCTGGAAACATCAAGGTTCCCAGAACGCTGCGCATCCCCTCTATGAGAGAAAATGAGGCCTGGTTTTTCGGTCAGGTTGAATGGAATAAGCATTGTAGAGAGCTAAATCTCGGTCGTAATACGACGTCATGGATGTGAATAGTACCTCTGAAAGATTAAGAACATGTCTTTACACGGACCAAAAAAAAATAAAACATAAAAACCAAGTTTTCTCGCGGTCCCACATCCTCTTGGGCCTAAGAATCGTGAAAGAAATGGCTTTGCGGGAGACTTTGGCATTTAAACTCGTCATTAAGGAGGTAAGCAAACCTTATTTTAAAAGGCAATTCCGGTCGAAAATGAAACAAAAATAAACGACTGGTATCGCTTTAATGGCACGAAATGTGATCACAGTAGGGGGATCGGTGGCCGAGTGGTCTAGCGCACACCAGCTCGGAGCACGTGGAGCGAAAGCTCGCGCTGCAGAACCCAGGGATCCTGGGTTCGAGCCCCACCCCTGCCCGTTTCGATCTGGATGAGCATCGTACCGGCGTGCGGTCGTATATCACTACTGCGTGACGCACGTTAAAGACTCCAGGCTAGCGGTTTGTACCGCACTGGCTAAATTTCTCATCTACAGCTGGGAGACTCGTCGCCCCTGTGAGGCAGACCAAGTTCTAGGCTGTATAAACACACACACAAACCCAATTTTTTTTTTGTGATCACAGTCGAAATATCGTATTTTCCGGACTATAGTCCGCGGAGTTTACATGTCTAAAAGTTGAAATTTTGGGCTGTGGGGACTATTTACGCGTGCGGACTATACAGGATTGTCGTTTTTCAAAATCGTTCATTATGACGAGACGTAACGGATTTTGTGAATGAAAGAGTACACGGCACACCTAGACATTTGTCTAGGTGTGCCGTGTGTATGAGAAACATTTCGAGTCAACTAAACACCAGGTGCGGACTATGCACAGCGTGTGGACTATGCACCGGGTGCGGACTTTCTAAACGAAAACATTTATTTTTTAGCCCGAATTTGCCTCTGCAGACTATACACCGGGTAGGGACTATAGCCCGGAAAATACAGTATTAGGTCAAAGTGATGCCGCGTACCTTAGAGGCATACCTTAGAGGCTCAGATAAAAAAAGGTAGGGTAACTACCGGGTGGAAAGTGCGCGCATTAGACACGATTCACAAACATGTCCAAGTAAGCGAACTATTAATATTTGAGAGATTTCATGCGATCTACATTGTCAGTCTCCCCCCCCCCCCCCCCCCCCCCCCCCTACATTCGTTTCAGCGATTTGTAGAATAAGACAGTCATGCTTGCGTGATATTAAATGGAATGCACATGACTGTGTTGATAGCCGCAGCCAGTTCGTAACTTTTGATGCGTGGCCTTTGGTTTGCGGGCGGCGATGGGAGCTCGGTTATCCTCAATCATGTGGCCTTTGTTGCACCTGACTCTGGAGTTGCTTTCGTATCATGACGGCTCAAAACGAGGGCGATGAAGATTGCTCGTCCGCTAAGCGTTAGTCTCCTCCCGTCTGTCAGCAGCTGGCTCGCTTCCATCTCACGATAAGATATAGTGAAATCACAGTGCAAATACACACTCCACGTGCGCTGTCAATATGGCATTCATATTAAAAATAGCGCAAAAGAGACGGGACAAAAAGACGAAGAAGCACACAGGACAAACGCGATGAATGTCCACTACCAACTTGCCCAGCAGACCAAGCTTTTGTCAATATGGCGGATACTCACTCCATATCAGATGTGAATATGGAGTGCTCAGTTCAAAGGAACATTGAAGAAGGGACAAGACTGCGGTTTTGGCTTTACTTTTTAAGAGAGAGAGAGAGAGAGTGAAGCGAGAGAAAGCTTGCGAAAGAGGAAATACTAACGTGTATGCCATAGACAGAGGCCAGGCGGTCATGTTTAGTGGGGGGAGGGGAGGAGGTAAGAGCAGTTGATAGAAGGTAGCATTCTGAAATTGAAGAGGCGTAGTGATTCGCCAGAGCCGACAACCCGGGGCGGATGGAGCCGCTACATCGAGCGTCTGAAGGGAAGCGGCAGAACAGATGAAGAAGGCGGAGTGGGAGCCTCTCGGTTGTAGAGTCCGGCGCCGAGAAGCAGGCAGCACAAATGGTATCCGAGTTGTCCAAGTATTGCCCCCCCACCCCCCGCACACCAGCGCCAAGTACCATCTTATACCGATCCAAAGTACAATGGCTCCGTCAAAATCCCTGGTGTAGTTGGGACGGAGAGGAGCAAATATATATATCTATATATATATATATTTTTTTTTTCGGAAATGTAATAGACTTCGTTCCCTGAGTGGTCGCGGTAGAGCCTATACAAAGACGTCATTCTTTGCTTGTTTGTTCGGCTGTTCTAACCACGCAATGTTCGCGTTGTATACCAATCACAAATATAAAGATTATTTTTAGGGGCAATTGCTGAATGCTCGGCCCTCGGAATGCCTTGGCCTTACGCGTTTCCGAATCTATCTTCCGCATACTTTCTGGGCAGGGTCATCGCCAGACTTGTGCTCGTTAATGGAAAAATGTAATTTATTGCAATTACAAATTAACGAGCCTCAAATGTAAAGGATTACCGCTACAAATTACTTTCACTTAAAAGTAACGGATTACTTTGCTCGTTACGTTACAAATTACTTTTACGTTACTTTTTCCTTACACTTATACAGAAAACAATAGAAACGATCTTGATGTTCTTGAAAAATGTTCTGCAACACTACTGTTCATTTCTCATACGCCCGTATTATGGTAGTCCTTGTAAAAATAAAATATTGTATTTAAGAGAAAGAGTGTAGGTGCACTCCGTTCACCTGAAAGCTGACAAGGCATTGAAAGCTGCAAACACACTCGCCACCCCGATAGCTTACGGCCTCTGGAAATGATCCCTGGAATCGCGCAAACAAAGCTAGCGGTGCACATGTTCAGTAGCAGCGTCTACCTCCACTACGTGATTCGGAGCTAAAGCAGCGACCTACGAAAGCTCCCTGGTGACTCGGGTGTTTCGCCTGTTATTCATAAGAATAGAAAAACTTGGTTCTAACGTTACAATGCATGACCAATGCAGAATGCAGGTGTCCCAGCTTTCCTTGATGTGTTTCCGTGAATTAGAGCTTGCTGTTTTCTTCCGATGACGATGTGTGTTTCTTAGGCAAGCAAAGTATGCACTGAAACTCTACGTTTTCGTTCTCCTTAATGCCCTAACTTTTTAATATCTCATTAAGAGATGACCATGGAGACGACGGACACTCATGACCAAAAACTCGACCAGTCAGAGAAAAAGTGGCGGTTACGGGTTATCGGTCGTTCATCGGTTCTCACTTCCACACCAATATTCGTGCACGCCAAGGGAGGGGAGAACATAGAGAGCGAGAGACGCGGTGGTCATCGCTCTCACAAAACAATAGATTATTACACCCCTTTTACGCGTTCTCTCTCTCTGTCAGCACTCCTTAGAAGGCCTAGCCCCCCCCCCCCCCCCCCTTTTTATGTTTACTGTTGACTGTAAAGTGAAGAGTGGACTCGACCACCATGGCCAAACAAATAAACAAGAAGTATACCCCGTAGCCTCGAAGACAATGCTCTTAGCATCGCGCCGGGAACTTTTCAGCCCTGCCTCAAGAGTGTGCTAGAATACTGTAGCGCACATGAAAGACGAAGAAAATTCGACCCTCTCGCGCGAGGCTACATCGCCCTTTTACATGAGTTGTGAACCCGCGAATCGAGGGAGTACGGACCCGCTCTCGATCTCTGTGCAGGTGGCTGGAGACGTCGAAGAAGTTGGAAAGGGTTAAACGGTGTAAAAGAAAAAAAAAAAAAAAAAACAAATAAACAGGAAGAGCTTTCTACTGACCGGGAGAAGAAAAAAAAACACGATAGAAGGTGACGGGAGAGCCTACTCGGCGTTGTCTTATTTTACCTTTGTCTTTCGTAAATTTCTACAAGCCTCGCCCATTTTTTTAGTAATTCTAGTGACCGGTCATACAAAAAAAAAAAAAAAAAGAAACGTGTTTTCTTTTTGGCTAATATCCCCTTCCTGATGTTTTCTATTTTATGGAACTTGCTCTCTTTATACTGCTGAATGTTCTGCTCGCATTGCTTCAGTTACTCTATTATGCTCATATTTTTAAAAGTAACGAGTAATTAAAGTAATCCGTTACCAATATTTTGTAGCGAAATTACATTACAAATTACTTTCGAAAAAAATTACGTGGCGTTACAAAATTACTTGAAAAAGTAACAGATTGCAAGTAATCCGTTACTCGTAACGGACTGCTTTCCAAGTCTGGTCATCGCGGCCCTTTAGATCACTATTTTCCTTTTTAATAAGACAATTGCGGCATATATACAGCCTGCAACCCCCTCCCCCCCCCTTCCCACGTGTCGGCGCGATAGTGCTGTGGATTGTGCGATGCTTTTTCTTTTAATTAATATTCAGGGGAAATCCAGCGTCTA